GAAATTGAGGTTTAGGGAGGTCCTGACCACCCACTTCAAGATCCAAAGCAAGAACTCAATTTTGCAGCATACCCCTGCGGCGCACTTGGCTACGTAGCATAGCATGGACACCACCACCAGCACCACCAGCACCACCACCAGCACCAGCACCACCACCACCACCACCACCACCACCAACAACAACAACGACAAGGACAACAACAACAACAACAACAACAACAACAACAACAACAACAACAAAGCAAAAAAGCCGGAGCAATGGCTGACTTTTAGAATGACTGTGGCCTAAATATTAAATACCACACATGAAGAATCTCCAGGCTTGTGGCCTACATGGGATGCAATCTTTTGGTATTATGCGTCCAGAAGTCCACGTGCCTCCCCAGTCTCTGCCAACTATCAGTAAGAAAAGGATAACCTGCTTGAATTTGCACACCATCTTCTCGCTCATGAACTTTCATGCTCCGCCCGCCTTCAACACTGACTTCGCTTACCGCCTTTACAAAAGTCGATAGAGTCCGAAAAGTGAGGGAGGTGCAAGGAAAGTCATGTCTGTACTGATCACAAGCACCCAGATAGAAAAAAATGTATAAATCATACATAAAAGTTGATAAAACAAACGGCCTGTCGAGTAATGTAAGTCTCGAAACTTGAGCCACCAGTACCTCCGAGCTTGTTTTTGCCGAGCCTGAATTTCACTGCGCTCCGAGTTTTGCCAAGCCCGAGTTCCATGAGTCCCACTCCATTTTCTTTTCTCGTACTCTCACGGAAAGAACAACAAAAAAGACGAAGAAAAGTTGCAGTTGTGAAACTCACAAGAGACCAACGAGCCTGGCTTAGTTGGTACACCCTGAACTGTTGAAATGCAGAGCCAAGTTCGAATCCAGATACAATCAGATGCCCAAAAATACCATAAATTCTGAATTATCTAGGGCCGGTCAGCTTCAATGATGATATCTCAAGGCCGTCCTTTCTCGAAAAAAAGAAAAAAGAACTCACAAAAGAAGAAGAAGAAAACGAAACAAAGCTTTGGCCGTGAAATGCGGTTGTATACATTCTTGGAAGTGGTAGTGTGAGTGTGCCCTCAGTGAGGGGATCTCAGCCCCGTGGCCAGGTTGTCATATTCCAGAAAGATAGAAGGGAAGAAAAAAAAAGGAAACAAGGATTCGGCCGTGAAATTCGCTCGATACGTTCCTCTAAGTGCCAGTGTGATCAGGGTTACAATCCTCTGAGGAAACACAGCTTGAGCAGATCACGGATTCCGCCCTGCCTCATTGGCAGGGGACTCGTGAGAATGAGACGAGAAAGGGCGGGGAAAAAGCAAAACAACGACCTTCAGAATCTCACCGTTTCGGCTGTAAGATTCATTCTGTGGAGTACTGTGAACGCCGCCTCCTAGACTACCCTGCCCGACATCATTGTGGCCGGCCGAGAAAGTATCTTTTTTTTTTTTTTTTTTTTTTTTTTTATTCCCCTTTCATGCACGGGCAATATAAAATGAAACTTTATGGGACTTGCCAAGCCTGGGATCCTCTGAGGAAACACAGCTTGAGCAGATCACGGATTCCGCCCTGCCTCGTTGGCAGGGGACTCGTGAGAATGAAACGAGAAAGGGAAACAAAAAAACAAAACAACAACATTCAGAATCTCACCATTTTGGCTGTAAGATTCATTCTGTGGAGGACTACTGTGAACACGGCCTCCTAGACTACAGAGTACCTTCCCCCCCGCCCCCCCCGTTTCATGCGCGAGCAATATAAAACGAAACTTTATGGAACTTGCCAAGCCTGGGTCCCACTCCGAATTCTTCCGGAACGGGCATTTTCCCCTAATTTCCCAACACTGGCGGACGTACTAGTGTTTTCAAGTTGCAAGTCGCATTAACTAATTTGAATTTTGAACTTCTTTTTACGACAATGAAAAATGGAAAATGGATTGGCAAGGAAAACAGGATAGACCAGGTGGAGCAAGGATTGACAGATTGAGAGCTCTTTCTTGATTCTATGGGTGGTGGTGCATGGAGTGATTTGTCTGGTTAATTCCGCTAACGAATGAGACCTCAGCCTGCTAAATAGCTACGCGGGAACTAAAAAGAAAGAAAAAAAAAAGGATAGACCAGGTGGAATTGTACTGAGAGGAACGAACAGAGGTCGAAGACATGCACGAGGAGTGAGCACTGGCAAGAGCAAGAGCAAAAACATGAGGAACAAAGTCTCTCCTTGCAAGGAAGGCTTCCTCTCAGTAAAACTTTTTACACCACCAGTACATGGCCCCAGGCAAGTGGAGAACCTGTTTTGAGCCTCTCCAAAAAAATTTAGGAGGCTGAGCGCCGTAGATAGAATGAATCGGCGGCGGGCGGCCTCCGAAAGCGGCCCGCGGCCGATAGCTGGTATGTACTGGTGCTGGCATGTACTGGTGCTTTAAGGCAAGACTCAACCTGTTAGAGAGGAAGCTCTGGCAAGAAAATACAGTCAGTAGGGGAAGATTCAGGGCAGGGAAGACAACGAGAGGACTTGTGTAAGCAATTGTTGTACAGACGAACAGCTGTGATGAAGTTATACAAAGGACAAGACAAGACGACAAGCAACTGCTGCAGAGGCCAATAACTATGATGAAGTTATATAGACAAAGACAAGATAAGCGATGTAGTAAAAAAAACAAAAGGATCGACTGGACTGCCGATGACGAAATGGAAGAGGAGAAGACTGCAATATTGCCAATGTGAAAAGAGGAAGAGACTGGTCAAAAGCTTGCATAGAAGAAGGTATCAGAAACACACAAGATCAACGAGAACAACATGTTATGAAAACCCTCCTGCAGCTGATAGGACACGCAGGAGTAACCTGTTCCTCTAAATAATCTGCTTTGCAAGAGGAGGAGTGGAGGAGGAGGAGGAGGAGGAGGAGGAGGAGGAGGAGGAGGAAAATGGGTCTGGACTCAGGAACTTAGAAGATTAGTCCTTTCTGCATTGGTTTGTATGCTGAACATCTAGATCTAATACCTGGAGCAGGAGGTTCAATCAAGCGTGACCCTGGTGTATTAATAATTTTATATCACGGTTATCACCCCTTCCGTCTATCGGAAGGGACGGGCATGTTCCAGATAACTTTTTTATTTTTTTTTTATTTTTTATTTCACATGGACATTAACAATGAAGCCATGGTACAGGCAC